AAACAGATGTATGATTCCAGCAGAAAAATAATCTAGTTCCAGCAAAACTGAAGAACAGTTGTAGCAGAAAAATACACTGATTCCAGCAAAAATCCAAGACGATAGTAACAAAAATAATGAATGTTTGTTCCAACAAAAATCAAAACGGTGATAACAAAAGGAAATAATGCTTGCAACAAAAAAAGAAAATGGTTCCAACAAAAGTACTTGCCGCTTCCAGCAAAAATATGAATCGTCGTCACTGGGCCGTAGCAAAAAAAGGAGATGCTTCCAGCAAAAAAATTTGCTGGTTCCAGCAAGGATGGATCGCCGTCGTGGCCGTCACAGCACTGTTGTCGCCGGTTCCAGCATTTGTTTTGCTGGTTGCAACTCCACCGGCTTATGGTTGTAGCTCCGCCGAACTACGGTTGCAGCTCCGCCGCGCCAGGTGTGGTCACCGCCTGAAGTTGCAGCTTCCAGCATCTCCCGCCGATGGTTCCAACATCTGCGCACCGTGGATCCAGCATCTGCACTCCACGGTTGCAGCACCCCCATCCCCCGCGTGGCCGCCGTGGAAGCTCGCGTGCGACTCGGTCGCCGCAACTGCCAGCTCGCGGCCCTTGTGAGATGCATCTGCGAATGGCCCCCGGCGTCAACAGTAGAGAAGGAGGGGGAGGAAGGAAAAATACTCGTTCGAAAGAGAGAAAGAGTAGTAGAGGGGAGTCGCCGGTGGTGGAGCTCGTCGGAGCTAGGATGTGGCGGCGCAAGGGAGGAAGCAAGGCTGGACGACGAGCACTCTAGGGGGAAGAAAAGAAACAAGATGAAGAAAGAGATAAGGGCGTACCTGAACTGTGTGGATGAGCGGTGCTGGGATAAAAACGTGCTGGTGCGCGTGGGACCCCACAAACACGTGGTGCGCGTGAGAATCAGGGTGCATGTGGGCGAGAGTGCGAGCGCGACCGGCGGAACGTTCGGCCGGCCCGCCGATCTGAAACGTTTTCCTATAGGAAAACGCATACGTTCACCTATTTTTTTATTGATGGTGATACTATTTTTTTAGGGGAAAGCCAAGTTTTATTCATCAAAAACCACAAATTGTGGGATACATCTTGGATCAAGAGGTTGGCCAAACCAAACGTGGCGCCCCGGACCCAGTGAAAGCGATGACTTGGCTAGACTATGTGCCTCCATATTGGATGCACGAGACTCGAAAATGAAATTACAATGGAATGAGTTTGCTAGAATTTGAATTTCGCTAATGACAGCTCCGGTGCTGCCTCTACAACCCTTGTTGATGTTGCTGATAACTTGCTTGGAGTCGGAAGAGATCACAAAATTTTGTAGTTGGAGATCTTCCGCCAGTGCCAAGCCCTCTCGGCAGGTGATCGCTTCCAGAGATTCCGGGTCGTCCAATCCTGCAATCACCAGAGATGAGTTGCCAAGATACGCGCCGGTTTCGTCCCTGCACACCGCCGCAGCTGACCCCCTGCTGCCCCTGCGGACCCCAGTGTCCACATTGATCTTTGCATGGCCTTGAGGAGGGGCTTTCGGCCTTCCGCTCCTTCTCGTTGTTCCCGCTCCAGTCACCTGGGGTGGTTTGACCTTCAGTATGTCTAGCTCATCAATAAAACTGGTGATGAAGCCGTGTGTAGAGTGAGGGCTTTGAAAAATCCCTTCATGAATTGCCTTCCGTCTCGCTGCCCAGATTGCCCATAGTGTAACTGAGAGCCTCACAAAAAGCTCATGTGACATTGTCTCCATCAAAGTGAACAGCCATTGTTTGGCGTTTGGTTCAGTTATCGCTGCAAGATTTTCCGTGATCTCCACGTCCATCAGTGACCATCTACATCTGGACATTGAACACTCTATTAGGGAATGCCTCCAGGAGTCTTGCGCGCCACAGAGGCCACAAGCACTTGAGTCACTCATGTGTCTGTGTGCCCTCACATCGTTGGTTGGGATTGAGTGTTTGGACAAACGCCAGAGAAACATCCTCACCTTGCCCGACACTTGAGTTTTCCACAGCTTCTTCCATGCACCCTCCTCACTGGACGTGCTGGAAGATCCGGCCGTGCTTTCAAGCCATGCCTCTCTTCTAGCTCTTGTCGCCACCATCATGCGGTAGGCTGATTTAATAGAGAATTTTCCATTCTTTTCATAATGCCAGCTCCAGAAATCCGGAATGTTCATGGTGCACAAAGGGATAGCCATTATTACGCGAACATCCATTGGCATGAAGACTTCCGACACCCTCTGTCTGTCCCATTGGGTTGACGTGGCATCTATGAGCTCCGAGACGAGTTCTGGTGGGTTCTGTGAGATGCACCCATACGGTCTCATCATTTCCTCGCGCGGCAGCCAGTTTGCTTCCCAGATTCTGGTCGTTTCCCCATTGCCTATTCTTTTGATCAGACCCAGCTTAAGGGTGTCCCTCCCCTCAATCAAACTCCTCCATATTTGGCTTGGGTGATTCCCCAAATTAGAATCAAGTACCGAAGTGTTTGGATAGTAGATACTTTTGAGTAGGCGAGCACATAGGGAATCAGGGAATTGCAACAGAGGCCATGCCTGCTTGGCCAGCATAGCCAAGTTGAAAAGTTCAAAGTCTTTAAACCCCAAACCCCCATTGATGGTGATACTAATATTATTGAAAAGAAGGGACATATCTAGCTACTCGCCCGCGCTCTGAGCTTGGCCCAAGAAAGCCTGGCCGCCAAATCATAAGAACAGACTTTCGCCCTGCTTAGTCCTTCAGTCGCCCCACCACCCTTTTGGATCCCACGGTCTTTTTTGGGCCGAAAAAAATCCCATGGTATTTTCTGGGCTGAAGAAATATAATTGCGTGGGGACTCGATCTCAGGATTAGCCATCTAGAGTACAAAAGACAAGGCTAATTAGATTATCCCACCTAGCCTCTTTACACAAATTCTCGCCAATTTAAATGAGTCCGTGAGTTGCCTGCAAAACAAAAAGGCTCCTCAAGAATCAATAAACAGAGATGCAGATAATTAAATGAGATGAAGAAAATATCACATTAATTAAATGAGATTGCTAGAAATTCCATGGTTGGATGGGCCGATGGGTGAGAGAGGTCCCCAATTAAATAAATGTGCTCCAAAAGGAACTGAAATTAGAAGAAGGAATAAATGGGCGTGGTAATTAACCTACATGTGCAGGTGTTTGAATAGTGATTTGAGGGCACGGCGTGTGGCGTGCATGGACATATTGGTTGGCAACATAACATGCACAGTGGAGGAGTTTGTCAACTAACCAAACTAGGCATGTTATAAATTTGAGATTGATCTTCATTTCTTTTAACCTCATGTTATAATTTTTCCTTAGCCATATTTATATTATACAATTTGTCCATGCTAGATTATGATGACCAAACTCACAGTCTTGAGACTTATCACGTAAATAGATGGACAAGTGACCACAATCGACGATGGTACAAAAAGAAAAGGTAACAACATATTAGGCCATCTCCAACAATCGTATCATCGTTGGTAAATTGTCACCTAGACTCTTTTGATGACATGGCATATAATAAAAAAAGAGAGAGAATGAAATCATATGAACCTGAAACAACGCCCAATCACAAGCTCCAAGGCAAGGCCGTTCATTTCTTAAACATTTAGTGGACCCGCTTGATTGTTTAACATATGCTTGCGGTTGGGTGTTCACGTGGACACTTATACCAACGATTTAACATACTCTTAGGGGTGCACAAGAGTTTGTTTCTCTCGTTGCAACGCACGAATATGTTTGCTAGTCGGCATGAAATTAGAGCAAATCATTTGGTCGTCCCCGTCCCCGAACAAGGCACACAAACAAATCTTGGCAGACACTTTACTGAACTCGAATCCAAATGTTCAGAAACATACAAGATTACAGTAATCTGCCAAACCTGCGGCATACAGAAAACACAATAGGCTCCATACTTTATTCAGACGCAGCAACGGAGCAGAGAACGATGAAGCGCATCCTGATGCACATCGATGGCGAACCTAACGGTCTCCCTTGACGACTGTCACAGGGCACGACGCGTTCGACAACACGTAGTTGGTCACACTTCCCAGAAGAATCCTGCAGCACCGCCGGGCAAGAAAAGGGCGTCAGTGAAATTTGAATAGGCTAAATCTGTTTAGGCCATATTGTTCTCAAATGTTCGCCTACAGGTATCAATAAATACATAATTTAACTACTGTTGTCCTTGACATTAGGAGTTATGCCCAAGGATCAGACCGATTGACCGAGCCTGGTGAATCAATAGGTGTGAAATGCATTGACACTTTGCTCTGTCTTAAAATTGACAGCTATATTAATTTATATTTATACTCATTAGAGATAGTCATAATATTGGAACGTGGACACTCATCAAGATAACTCTAAAAAAGTTTGACAAGATATGCAACCGAAGTCATAGATCCAGAATAATGTCCGAGTAATTGCCATGTCGCAGTTGTGAGTGTGTTGTAAAAAAACTCTACACTATTCTCTCCCTTATTTAGTTAAAGAGGCAAATCTTTTGCCTTCGTTTCAAAAAAAAATCACATTCTACTCTGATGAACACTTATTTATGCTGCATCTCGAATAGCACAAACACTGTAGTTGCCGACCAACTCTATCTACACCATTCTAATGCTTAAACACTGTCTACATGAGCATTTTAATACCACTCGCCGTTTCAGTTGACCACACAAATAATCTGGCGGATGCCACCCAGGTAGGCGATCAATTTTTCTAGACAATAGACAATAGGGCGATCATGCCTCGTGCAAGTTAACAAATGCAAGGGAAACGCCTTGACGGTCCATGTTCAACTGCACATTAGCTGTGAACCGTGTTCTAATTGAAATGAATACTGTGATTTAAGTCATAGTGCGCCCTGAAACGCGGAATGATGCAGCCAATCGATCCAAGCGACCAAGGTACTAGTACAATTAACTTGAAGTATTGCTTCACGGACATTTGACTTCGCATGCATCTTGAATCAAGCAATGTCTGATAGTAGTACTATATTAACCCCAGTGACGTGAGGATTGCCTATCTGAACAAGAATACCGTACTACTTTATGCAAGCAGCAACCGGCGATTTCGTGCTCTGGGAAACCATGACCAAGAATCGCACATGTCCGGAGCAACATTTTGACAGGAGTAGTGTCGTACCTCTGGATGGTACCGAGGCCGCGGCTGCCCATGACGATGGTGTCGATCTTCTGCTCCTCCACCGCGTCGCAGAGCTTCTCCCTGGCGTCGCCCCAGTACACCTTCGCCACCACCTTCAGCTGATCATCAGGCAGGAAAAGCCAGTCAGTCCATCTTCCTCCATGGTCGATCGATCAAATCAGAGGATCGGAACACCTCCCACGCATATACAAAAAAGCAACATACCTCGAGCTGGCGCGCGGCGGTGTCGAGCATGTCGAGCACCTCGGCGTCGCAGGTCACGCCGTAGTTCTTCATCACCTCCGGCTCCCGGTACTCGGACAGAGGGATGAGTGCTGCGGGGGAGCCGATCGAGCACGCGTTAGCTTGAGATCGAAGCGAACAGAGGGGTGGGTGTGTGAGGAGGACGTGTGGAGCGCTTACGGGATCCGGACTTGGCCCAAACGGCGTGCTTGGCCTCCTCCCCGCCGTGGCGCTGGACGTGGAGGACGACGACGGTGTCGCCCCGGCGGAGCAGGTTCCGGACGGCCCACTCCAGCGCCCGCTTGCTGCTCGCCGAGTAGTCCATGGCCACCCCGATCCTGCGCTCCCCGTCCGCGTCCGCGCCGCCGGCCATCCTTTCCAGATCCGCTCAAGCACCAGCGCTGTGTGCTTCTCCTCTCACGTGGCGAGATGGCGAGTGTTTGCCGTAATGCCTGTAGTGTGGGCGAGGCTGCAGAGAGCGACAGGTACTTAAAGGGCTGGCCCTGCCTGAGCCGGGCGAGGGTTTTGGGTGGGAGCACACGGGAGCGGGGCGCGGCACGTTTCACCGCGTGCGACGCACCGGCATCGGGGCTTTGGATCGGCGTGACCAGAAGGTGGCGCGGCGTCGTGGGGGAGGCGTGCACCCCTGCGGTTGGCGCCCCGTGCACTGGAATCTTTGCGCGTGGCGTGTCCGCCTGGGCCAACGGCACGGCGGCAGGGAGCCGGCGGTGCGCCTGGGCGGTTTGGCGTGGAGGCCCGACCTCGAGTCGGTAGATGGGGTGGATCGGATCCGCGGATATGGGTGGGAAACTGCGGGTGCCGTCACGGCCGAGGAATACGTTGAGCGCGTCTCGATTTGCATAGGTTGCCTCTCCTCGTTGCTACGTGACGCGCGAAATGGTTGAGAGGTTCCGTGGTCGAGTTTGCGTGCACGGGAACAGTTTCTTACTCGGGTCCTCTGCATGTGATCGGTGGGCCTCCATCGCCCATAGCTCAGCGGACATTTCTTGCTTTTGCTTAAACAAGATAGGCGCCATCTTCAGGATTTTCATTTTTTGTGCCAGCCACGTGACCGGGGCAGGCCACTGTGTCCGCTGCCCGTGGCAGACAAGCACATGCTGACATGCATGCTGGAAGGGACTAGCAAACAGATTATTTTTTTCAAAGAAAAACACAGTTTTTTTTTGAGAAACTACACCCTTTATGTAAAGTTCAGAAATATTCATCGGGATACATATATGTCGGGCAACACAGAAAGGCACACATGGCATCCAAAAGCAAGGGAAGAAGCTGTCTTAGATAGGTCATGCGCTTCCCCATTAAGCTCACGTTTTTCATGGTTAATCTTGAAAGCTTGGAATGAAGCACGACTTTGGTTGATCTCCTGAAGAAGTGTGGTGTACCGCGCCGGAGCTTCAGAGTTGATGTGTGCCACTACTTCGGCGCAGTCGGAGGTGATGCAAATGGAGTGTAGGTGGAGATATCTAAAAAAAACTTGGATGTTTTTTGAGGCACAAACAAACGATGTATGTAGCTGCACAGCTGGGCCTTCCACTCCCCTGCGCCGAAGATGAAGAAAGGATAGGACCATGCGGTTGGAAACGTCTATGTCTCGCTAGAAGTAAGAGTCTATGTTCATGAAAATTATAAAAAATCTTCGCAAAATTTGCTAAAACTAATTTTGTACCATTCACAAATTATACAAAAATTTAATAAAGTCCGTACATTTAAAAATATGTCTCACGATTTTTTTAAAGTTCATGAAACAGAGAAATAAAGTTCATGCAATTATAAAAAAAATTCATGCCATTAAAAAAATTGTTCTAACACTTCAAAAATATTAGTGCACTTGAAAAATATTCATATTTTTTGGAAAAATGGCGAACATGTCTTTTAAAATGTTCACTTTCTATTTTAAAATGTTCACAATGTATTTTACAAATGTTAACGTGTCTTTAGATATATGATTAACTTGTATAAGAAAAATGTTTAATGTGTTTCCAAAATTGTACAAGTAGTATACAAAAAGGCTTAATGTCCAACATGTATAAAGAAGTCGACAAGATAGTTGAAAAAAAAGACAAAATAAAAAACCAAACAAAAAGATATACAAAAGCACAGAAAAACAAGGGAAAACCCAAACGAAACCTCCCCCCTAAATGACTAAAACCGGTCGGAACTGGTCTTTAGAAGCTTCACAAAATCGTTTCTTGAGCTGGCCCACTTCAACAATCCCTCTGTGTGAGGCTACTATCCATCTCACGGTAAGCAAAATATAGCACTGGTACAACCCTTTATCAACTGAAAGATGACACCGAAATACTCGGCGTATCTTATTCCAAGCGCAAAACTAGGTGCTTCGACCAAATGCGCAAGCCCCCGCCCCCTCGGCGAATTGAGTCGGCTCACTTGGGCGATTGTTGCTACAATTTTAGAAAGGTTCTGCTTTATTCTTGTCTTTTTATATTTTACTTCAACCAGTTTTCTTTCAAAATTTTTTACAATTTTTGGGTTCTTATTTTCTATTTTCCCCAATTTTATGGTTGGTAAATATTTTAACAATTCGTATCTTTTTTAAGGATTATTCAATAATATTAAATTTTAAATATTTTCAATAGGTGAATATTCTTTAAATTCGTGATTTTAAAGCACATTTTAACATATGTATATTCATAAATATTTTACTTTTCTTATCATTTTTTACGTTCATGATTTTCTATAAATTTGTGAACTTTTTTATAATTCATAACTGCTATATTAATTTATTCACACAATTTTAAATTCACAATTATTTATAAAATAGGGAACGTGGTTTTATAACTAAGAATATTTTTCTAGTTAAGGATTTTTAAATATGTGAACATTTTAAAACTTGTGGATATTTAAAAGACACTGCGAACTTTATTTTGTTTTTCATTTTGTGACAATTTGAAAAATTGTGAGCATTTTAAAAATTGTAAAACGTTTTATTTTTTCCAAATTAGTGGCCTTTCTTTTAAAGCCTACACAGTTGTAAAATTCAAGAAGATTTTCGAAATTCTAGAACATTGTTTAGTTTGGATTTTTTTAAAAATTCGCTAATAATTTCTATTTTAGGAACTTTGTTTCAAATTATGAAAATTTTAACATAATATGAACATATGTTTTAATTCATTAAATTTTATGAGCTTATGAGTAATCAAACTCAGGTTTTCTTTTAGCCAACGGCTAGTGCTATTTTAAGAGGCGCTTGGGAAAAAGTTGGTTAGTCAGCCAAATGACATGAGAAACGCTATTAGGCTCACGCCGTAGCGTGAGCGGCTGTGCTTTGGTCCTTTGCGCTCCTTTGCGTGAGCAAAACCCTATTGGACGCTCGCTGCGGCAAACTGTCGGGCGATCGCACAGAGCAGCCGAGCCAGCCACAAAACATGGGCCGGCCCATTCCAAATACACACAGTCCGTCCAAACGGTTTTGGGAACCTTCTAGAAGGTTCCCTAAACCGGGTTTTTTTGTTGTGTTGATTCTTTTCTGGTTTTTCCGGCTTTCTATTATTTTTTCTTTTTCTTTTCTCATTTTTCTTTTTCGTTTTTTCTGTTTCTGTTTCCTTTTATTTTTCTCTTTCTTTTCTTCAAGTTTATTTTCCTGTTTCAAAAAGTGTCCAGAATTTTTAAAATTGATTACATTTTTCAAATTTTTGTTACAAATATATGAAAATGTTTTCTATGTTCAAATTTTGTTTCAGATGCACAAAATTCGAAAAATACGAGAATCTCAATAATTGTTCGCATTTTCAAATTTTGTTCAGAGATTTCAAAAAATGTTCTAAGTCGCAAATTTTGTTTCTTTTTTCAAAAATTGTTCAGAATCTTACTTTTGTTCTGAAAATTTGTTCGGAATGTTAATTTTTGTTCTCATTTTTTTTCATATTTTGTTCATGTTATTCGTGTTTTCAAAAGTGTTGATTTCAATAATTTGTTTGGAATATTATTTTTGTTCTCATTGTTGTTCGTGTTTTAAAAATTGTTGGGAATCTTATTTTTGTTCTGACAATTTGTTCAGAATGTTAATTTTTGTTCTCATTTTTTCAAATTTTGTTCATGTTGTTCGTGTTTTCAAAAGTTTAGAGTTCAAAATTTGTTCGGAATGTTAATTTTTGTTCTCATTTTTACAAATATTATTCATTTTTACTGAATCTGTTCCTGTTTTTTAAATTTTGTTCATAAATTTCAAAAATTGTTCGCTCATTTAAAAAAATGTTCGGTAATTCAAAAAAGGTTCAACTTTTTAAATTATGTTCCCACACCAAAAGTCCCCTTTTTCAGGAAAAATTTCACATTTTTAAAAAATATTTTGGAAATTTAGAAAATCTTCACATGTTTAAATTTTGTTATAAATTAAGAAATATATGGGAATTACCACAGTGGCTATGGACTAGCTTCCCTGGCGTGAAGAGAAGAGTTCAATTTGTTGCCCACAAATTTCATTTCTTTGGAATTTGGTGAACTTGTTTTATTTTCACGACTGCCTATAGTTCTTTAAGTTTCGTGCTGCAATTCTTACATATTAGCTTTCATGTCGCAGTGGCTTGCGCAGCGAAATGGGCCGGCCCAGGTGACGCGTCTCCTGTGCGAACCTGCAGCATTTTGCCGCAGTAAGCGGCACATAGGAGGTCTCTTTGCGTGAGTCCTCTAAGGGGGTGCACGGGGTGGCGGGGCCGACCTATGGCCCGCCCCTGAGTACTTTTGGGCCCGACCCATGTGCGAAGGTGGGGGCACTGTGTTTTATTTAGTTATTTTTCTTTCATTAGTTTCGTTTTTCTTTGTTGTGTTTGTTTATTTATTTATTGAAAAAATACAAAACAACCAAGATGACTTTTTAATTGCTTTAGAAAATCATGAACCCAAAAAATTTATGAAGTTTTTAAAAAATTGAAGACTTTAAAAAGAAAATCTGAAATTCAAGTTTTCATGCATTTTAAAGTGATAAATAATTACAAAAATGTTCCTGAGTTTCAAACAAAAGTTCCTTGATTTTACAAAATTGAATTTAAAATTATGTTTAGACAATAGGGAGGCTCTCCCGGGCTCCATTACCAAAATGAAACCAATAGTTTAGACATTAGCCCACACAGGGGCAATTTAGCATAGTGAATTTAAAGAACAACAATTGGTAGAGAAAAATAAAACATAGCACAACCTTGTTTCACCGAAAGAAAGAAGATAGCTAAGCAAAAGGAGCACCTACAAGGAGCTTCAAGATTTCCTGCTCGGCTCTTCTTGCTTTCAGTAGTGCCCTCGACGTCGACTAGGGAGACCCAGCAACCATTGAGAGTGGACACTGGGCTGGATGAGTTCGTCTTGTCTCCAGACTACTGTTTCTTGATGGGTGACTCA